ATGCAACTGTGAGAGGAGCGAAAATCGCTTGAAAGAGTATGGTGTGAGGATGCCCTGCTCTCTCTGGTGGGGGGGTCCCTGGCGCTCTGGCGGGGCTTGCCCAGGAGGGGAGGGAGGAGCACGAAACCTCAGGAAAGTTATGGTATAGCCACACCCCGTGTGCTCTGACGGGGCTACCTCGGGTGCAGTAGGAGGAGCAATACAGAACAGGGACAGTATATGGTATAGCCACACCCCGTGCGCTCTGCCGGGGCCGCCATTGAGGTGTGGGAGGGGCAATGCAACTTGTGAAATGATAGGGTATAGCGATGCCCCGCTCGCTCTGGCGGGGCCTGTCTGGCGCTCTGGCGGGGCTGTCCCAAGAGAGGAGGGTGGAGCACGGAAGCTGAGGGGTGAGGGGAGGAAGAGGAGAGAGGAGAAATGGAGGCAAGGGGAAGGGGCGGGAGGGAAGGAGGGACGGACGGGGGAGGCCTGGGCCATCTCGGCCCGTCTTGGAGCGCCCTGGGGCCTCCCGTTCCCGCTCTGTGGCGCAGCTTGGGCCTGTCCTGGGGCTCTCTTGGGCCGTCTGGGGTTCCTCCTGGGCAATTTTCGGGCTCCCTGGGGCCGTCTTGGGGCTCTTTGGGTGCCTCTTCGGCGGTCTTGGGGCGGTCTTGGGGGCGTCTGCGGCCGTCTTCGAGCATTGGAAGCACGAGAATGCGAGAAAGCCAAAAACATCGAACAAACCAATGCAAATCAATGATTTGGGCCTCTTTGGGCTCTCTCGGGACGTCTCTCGGAACTCTCTTGGGCACTCTTAGAGGCCTCTTTGGCTGTGTGTTTGCCGTCTTGAGCTCCTTTTGGGCCACGTTGGAATCATCTGGGCCGTCCTGCGCCCTGGGGCCTCCCGCTCCCGCTCTGGGGCCAATCTTGTGCATCTCCTGGGGTTATCCTGGGCAATCTTGGGCTGCTCTTGGACAATCTTCTAGCTCTCTGGGGCTGTCTTGGGGCTCTTTGGGGCCTCTTCGGTGGTCTTGGGGCGATCTTCGGGGCGTCGTCGGTCATCTTGGAGCGTTGGAAGCTCGAAAACGCGAGAAAGCGAAAAACATGTGAAAAAAAACGACCGGGAATCAAGGATGTGGGTCTCGTCGGGCTCTCTCGGGACGCCTCTCGGAGCTCTCTTGGAGGCCTCTTGGGCTGTGTATTGGCCATGTTGGGCCCGTCTGGGACCACGTCGGGGCCATCTCGGCCGTCTTGGAGCGCCTTGGGGCCTCCCGCTCCCGCTCTGTGGCTCAGCTTGGGCCTGTCCTGGGGCTCTCTTGGGCCGTCTGGGGTTCCTCCTGGGCAATTTTCGGGCTCCCTGGGGCCGTCTTGAGGCTCTTTTGGGTGCCTCTTCGGCGGTCTTGGGGCGGTCTTCGGAGCGTCTGCGGCTGTCTTGGAGCGTTGGGAGCTCGAGAACGCGAGAAAGCGAAAAATATGGAAAAACGGAAACCATGAAAATCAATGATTTGGGCCTCTTTGGGCTCTCTCGGGAAGCCTCTCGGAGCTCTCTTGAGGCCTCTTGGAGGCCTCTTGGGCTGTGCATTTGCGGTCTGGCGCCCATCTTGCCATGGGCTACGTTGGGGCTATCTGGGCTATCTTGGAAGGGCTTGTCGAAGTCCCCGGGGGCTTCTGGGAGCGTCTTGAAGCCCTCCGGGGCAATCTGTAGGCTCCACGGCCCCTCGGGGGTGCTCTGCGGGCGGTCTCGGAAGCCCCTGTCCCCGCACGCGCGCTCGGGGCCCGGGCCCCGGGCGCCCGGGCCTCGTGCGCGGGGATCTTTTATTATTATTATTATTATTATTCTTATTATTCCCTACCTACCTAGGCTCTGCCTAGGCTCTGCCTAGAAGGGTTCTTACTCTCTTAGCTTAAAGGGGCCGGGCAGTGCTAAGCGCCCCGGGCGGTTCCCCCAGTCCCCTGGGAGCGGTTCCCCCCAGTCCCCTGGGAGCTTTAGCTTTAGCTTTAGCTTAGCTGTAGCTTAGCTGTAGCTTAGCTTTAGCTTAGCGTTTCGCTTAGCTTTTCGCTTAGCGTTTAGCTTAGCTTTAGCTTAGCTTTAGCTTAGCTTGAGCTTAGCTTGAGCTTAGCTGTAGCTTAGCTTTAGCTTAGCTTTAGCTTAGCTTTAGCTTAGCTTTAGCTTTAGCTTAGCTTTAGCTTAGCTTTAGCTTAGCTTTAGCTTAGCTGTTGCTCAGCTTTATCTTAGCTTTAGCTTAGCTTAGCTTATAGATTTAGCTTAGCTTTAGTTTAGCTTTAGCTTAGCTTTAGCTTAGCTGTGGCTTAGCTTTAGCTTAGCTTTAGCTTAGCTTTAGCTTAGCTTTAGCTTAGCTTTAGCTTAGCTTTAGCTTAGCGTTACTGTTACTACTAATGCTGCTTTCCTGGGGGGTCCAACTCTAGGTAGGGTCGCACTGGGATAATAATAATAATCATTATTATTAGTATTAGTATTATTATTAGTATTATACGTATTATTCTTATTATTATGATAATATTATTATTATTCATATTATTATTAATATATATATATATATACGTACATATATATATATATATACACATATTCCTCTTTCTATTTTTTTGATTAGCCCGGGCGGGAGGAAAACCCGTCCCCCTCCCCCCATCCAGAACTGGACTGCCGGGGATCTGGGGCTTTGGGACCCTCCGGACGGGCCTCGAAGCGGCCACCCGGCCTCGCAGGGCGTTTTGCCAAGGCTTCCCAGCACACCTAGGGCCTAGGGCGGTCAGGGGGGTCGTCGGAGACGTCCCAGAGACCCCCAAGACAGCACAAGAGCGCTCCAAGAGTGACCGACGTGACCTCAAGATGGCCCAAGAGGCCCCCAGGACGGCCCCAAAGAGGCCTCCAAGAGCACTCCCAAGAAGGCTCCCCGAGGCAAGAATAATTGATTATCTGTTGTTTTTTGGAAATTTTGGGGTTTTCCTCTTTTCGGCTTCCCGACGCGTCAAGACGGCGGTCTTCTGGGCGTCCGAAGCCGCCTGGGAGGCTCCAAAATCGCCCCACAACCATCCGAAAAGCTTCCAGGCAGTCCAAGAGAGCCCCCAAACGGCACAACACGGGTCCAAGATGGCCCTCAGAGAGCCCCATGGCGGCCCTAGATGGCCCAAAGACACCCTCCGAAGAATCCCAAACCGTGATTCGGTCGTTCAGGGAGACCGCGGTTGGAGGCAGGGTGGCCCGAGGAAGCCCCTGGAGGCCCCCAGAATACGCTCAGGAGGCCTCCAGAAGGCCTTGAGAAAGCCTGAAACAACTTTTGTGAGGCCCCTAGAGGCTCTCCAAGGAGGAGCCTCTACAAAAACAGCTGAGGAGGATTGGGAGAATGCGCAGGGTATGGTGAACATAAGGAAACAGAAGCATGGAGGAAGGACAACGAAAAACAAAGTATAGCGGCGATGCCGGAAAAGGCAAACAGGAGTTATCGCTAAATTGTCGGCTTGACCTTTGATGGCAGTGGCGCTTCGCACCAAGCACCTTGGTCCTTGAAGTTTGGTATGCAGGCGGAGTAGCAGGAAGGTCAAGCCGACACTTTAGCGATAACTCCTGTTTGCATTTTCTGGCATCGCCGCTATAATTTGTTTTTCGTTATCCTTCCTCCATGCTTCTGTTTCCTTATGTTCGCCATACCCTGCGCATTCTCCAAATCCTCCTCAACTGTTTTTTGCAGAGGCTCCTCCTTGGAGAGCCTCTAGGGGCCTCACAAAAGTTGTTTCAGGCCTTCTTAAGGACTTCTGGAGGCCTCCTGAGCGTATTCTGGGGGCCTCCAGGGGCTTCCTCGGGCCACCCTGCCTCCAACCGCGGTCTCCCTGAACGGCCGAATCACGATTTGGAATTCTTCGGAGGGTGTCTTTGGGCCATCTTTGGCCGCCATGGGGCTCTCTGAGGGCCATCTTGGACCCATGTTGTGCCGTTTGGGGGCTCTCTTGGACTGCCTGGAAGCCCTTTCGGATGGTTGTGGGGCGATTTGGGAGCCTCCCAGGCGGCTTCGGGCGCCCAGAAGACCGCCGTCTTGACGCGTCGGGAAGCCGAAAAGAGGAAAACCCCAAAATTCACAAAAAAACAAAAGATAATCAATTATTCTTGCCTCGGGGGGCCTTCTTGGGAGTGCTCTTGGAGGCCTCTTTGGGGCCGTCCTGGGGGCCTCTTGGGCCATTTTGAGGTCACGTCGGTCACTCTTGGAGCGCTCTTATGCTGTCTTGGGGGTCTCTGGGACGTCTCCGATGACCCCCCCCCTGATCGCCCTAGGTGTGCTGGGAAGCCTTGGCAAAACGCCCTGCGAGGCCCAGATCCCGGGAGTCCGGTTTTTTTTGGGGGGGGGACGGGGTTTCCCCCCGCCCGGGCTTATGAAAATATAGGAAGAGGAATATGTGTGTGTGTGTGTGGATGTGCTTCCTGATGTCGTTTCAAACGCTTGGGCGCATTCACCTTTTTGGGTTCCTTGCAACTCCGGACGGCCGTGGGGGCCTCCAACACTGCCCAAGAAAGCCCCCAAACTGCCAAGAAATCCTCCAAGCCGGCCTCCAAGACCGCTCAAGCGCGCCACTAGACAACTCAGGCGGCCCCAAGAGAGCTCCAAGCTGGCCCAAAAGGGCCTCTGGAAAGGCCCCAGACGGCCTTAGAAACTTCGAGAGCAGCTCGATGCCTCAAGACAGCCCAAAGACAGCCACAGGAGACTCCGCAATCGACCAAGAAAGCCCCAAGAAGGTCCAGGAGAGCCCCACTACGGCCCAACACTGCCCCACGACTACCCCACGGGAGCCCGAGAAGGGACGGAAAAAACTGAGGAATACGACGAAGTCGAGCACCCCTGACACGACGCGGAAGAGTGTGTCACATGTGGCGGCTCTCCCAGCCCTCGGGACAAATTGTGTACCACGCTACGGCCTCCTATTCGCCCCTCCGAATAATCGCCACCCAAGGTGCTGGGCTGGCATGGTGGCGGGGCTTGCCGCAGGCAGTTGGATCACGTTGAGAAAGCAGAACACCGTCACGCAGATGTAGAGCACGAAAGAGAACACCATGAACGAGCCCACCTGGTTCAAGTGGTCCGCCACCTCGGTGCCCCAAGTAGAGCCACCGGAAACTGCCTTGAATAGCGAGTAGGCGCACCAGGGCAGCGAATGGAAGTGGAAATGGATTGCGTCGACGGTCCTCTGGGCGGGCAGCTCCGCACGGTCGTCCCATGGTCCCGAAGATCTGCTGCCGCCCACGGAGCCGAGCCACTCGGCGAGAATCTGCAGGCAAAAGACGGCGTACACGTACGTGATGACGAACATCAAAAGCATAGACCAGCAAAGAGACCTTCCGCAGTTCATGATCCCGGACACCATGATTCTTAGCTCCTTGAACCATGTGAGGAACCTGACCACCCTTAGAGCCTTCACCAGCCGCAGCGTACGTACAGATCGTGTCGCGGACAGGTTCACGGGGCCAAGGCTCGCCTCGTTGAGGAGGCTGATTGACACGATGCAAGCGTCGAATACGTTCCATCCGAAGTATGGGTTCCCCATGCGAAAGAAATAGGAACGCTCCCCGAGCATGCGGATCAGCAGCTCAATCACGAACATGCACAAGAAACACATGTCTATAGCCCATAACGCAACCGGCAGGTCCATGCCTGGGTTCTTGATGCTCCAGTCCGCATTGTACCCGACGCAGCAGGCGTTCGCCACAATCATTAGTGTGACGACCATCTCAAACTCACGTCTCTCCCTAATTGCGGCAGCAATGCGGAAGGGGAGAGCGTCACGCCGAACTATCCCACTGCCGGAGGAAGACCTACTCCCTACAATGATCGAGTCCCTGCCTTGGCGATAGCCCTTGACAACCTCGACTACTTGCACGACCTCTGTTCTCGTGCTCTGCATCGGTGGCTTCCTCTGAAAGCCAAACACCTCTTGAAGAGACGTGCCCGTGTTGCGTCTGACCTTCCGCCTGGGGCGTCTCTCCGACGATGGCGATGGGGTGTTTCCCGCGGTCGACACTGCCCGTCGGTCCCGAGGCGCTCTCTGCGGGTGCCCCTGACCTTGACGAACGAACAACACACACCCATACCCATCGGGAGGACGGAGGGGGCTATGGGTGCGTGTTGTCGGATGGGGGTCCCCGCTCGAACGGGAGCCTCCCCCGCGGTCCGACAACCCGCACCCATACTCATAGCAAGCCCTCCTCCCGCCGGCCCCCTTATGGGTATGAGTGTGTGTTGTCCGTTCGTCAGACCTTGCACCAACTGCTCGATACGTTCCATAATGGATCTGTGGTGACCATCTATCATGACATCGATCCGCGCTTCCAGATTCATATGCATTTCTGCGATCCGCTTCATGTGTTGGTCATCGGACGCAGTAGTCATCGCCATGGTAGCCTGCAAATCGGCGGACCACCCCATGCGCCAAAGGCTACGGACACATGAGATCCACGTGATCCGTGTTTCAGGGGCGCCTCATGACGCCAGGCTTGCCTGCTAGCTTTTGGCAGGCTTCCCCGTATTACAAAAGCAAGATACTGCATCATACAAACAAGCTAGAAAGCTCCGCGCAGATTTCTTGGGTCGGCACTTGCCCCCTCTCACTGGCGCGCGGAGTGCGCCAGGGGCGGCGCTGGAGGCGCCGCCAGGAGGGCCCAACGCCGGTCTCAGAAATCCGCGCGGACCTGAGGATAATGTATATTGTTTCATGTTTTTCTTCTTCGGCTAATGGCATCTCGCCTTAGGTTCTTATAGAAATCTTCAAGGACCCGGAATCTCTCCCAGCGGGATTTTGGCTGCTGCGTTCGCGGTGCTGGCGCGGATCCGCCACCTGTAATTCAAACCAGAAGGATACCTCTTAGACAGCCCAGCCAACATCTTTCAAAAACCCCAAGAATATTGTTTAGTCTTTGAATACGGTATGCTTGACATTTTGTGGATACACATTCGACCACACTTCGGGTAATATGGAGGTCTGGGGGGGGAGAACCAACTGATGACAACTGCAATGAGTGTGATTGTGACGATGCTGGTGATGCACTCGCGATTTGGCGACGATGCACGTTGACGATGATCGAGGGAATGTATGATGACGGGGGTTCGATTGGACTGCCCCGAGAGCTCGATTCAACTGCTTCGAAGAAGCTCGATTTAACTGCTCTGGGCCGCTCCGGCGTTCAATAAAGCTGCTCTGGAGGCTCGATTTAGCTGCTCCAGGGAGGCTCGATCTCACTGCTCCAAGGGGGGCTCGATTTAACTGCTGTGGGCCGCTATTGCTCTAGAGAAGCTAGAAAAACTGTTCCTGGGACTCGAGTCAACTGCTCTGGGGAGGCTCGGTTTAACTTCTCCAGGGGGACTCGATTTAACTGCGCTGAGGGCTCGATTTCACTGCTCCAAGGAAGCTGAGTTTAACTGTTCTGGGGCTCGATATATCACACAGGGACATGTAGCAACAGCGACAAGAGAAACAAACCATGTCTTGGAAAACGACGAACAATTCCTCGACAAGTGG